CCTCATCTTCCTCTCCTCCTCTCCATCTTCCCTCTCTCCTCCTCTCATCTTCTCTCATCTTCCCTCTCCTCATCCTTCCTCCATCTCCTTTTCCCTCCTCTCCCTCCTCCTCATGTCTCCTCTCCGGCGCTCCTCACTTTCCTCCTCCTCCCTCATCTTTGTGTCAGGTCTGTCAGTGCCCTCTGTTCACGGGGCAGGTTTTGGACTTGTTGGTCCCCTTCACTCTGGGGCCAGGAAACCCATCCCGCCTAGAGGGGCTGGAGCTGGGGCTGGCTGCTCCCACCTACTTTCCCTCTGCAGCAGTGGGTGGCAGGAGCTGGAGGATCTGGGTCATCCTGAGCGAGGAGCTCCAGCTGGGGGAAGGGGTGCAGCCCTGGCCCCTTCCAGCTCCTGGCTGAACAGTTTCATTTTGAACATGTAGGCATTTTGATGACGATTAAGGACTATCCATTTCTGGAATTTCTGAGGAATTAAGCATATTTTTGAAGAGGACTCTAATCAGTAACCAAAAATAGCCGTGACACATTGGCTTCTGAGTCTGCCAACTGCATATACTATAAAGCGCCGCTGGGAGGTGCCCAGGGCCCTCTGCCTCACTCCAGCTGTCACAGCCCCACTGGGGAGTGTGACCAGACCCATTTCCATGGTTAATATTTAATTCCTCCGCCCAAAACACAGGCTGCTAAATGAAGTCACTCCGTTTCCATAAATACTAGATGAAACAGATGCAGGTGAGGCCGGGTGGAGGCCCTCGCCCTTGTGAGTTCCACTGCCTTCCTCGGGCCTTGGCCTTTGTCTGTTTCCTACCTGGCCAAGCCAGCAAGCACATGAATCCCACCGGCCACAGTGCCAGAGAGGAGCTGAGTGGGTAGGAGTGGCTGTGCTCGTGATTCGTGAGGTGGTTTTGCTTTGCTGCCCCGCAGCTCAGACCTTGGACAGGGAGAACATTTCACTCCTCCACCTGTGTTCTCAGCTGCATGGGGATTCCCTCCTCCTCCAGAGAGTGTTGTGCAGAGCACAGGGATGGTGGGGATCCATGGAGCATTTTAGACATGGAAAAGCGCCGCATGCGGGAGAGGGACTGCTGCTCTCCTTTCCCAGCCCCCCGCCCTGCCATTCGATCTGGAAACCCGTGCTCCACAGCACAGTTGGCCCCTGGGTGGTGCGTGGAGGGCAGGCTTTCTGATGAGGCAGCCGTGTGTGTTCCATGTAGGCAACTGAACAAGGAGGCCCCACAGTGCACACTGGGCCCGAGAGACCAGGGCTGGCTGTCTCGTTCCTCTCTCCTGGGTAGTGCCTAGCCAAGGACTCAGCCCAGTCTCTGTGTGCAGCCCCAGTGTGCCTGGGAATCCTCTCCTGGCTAGGCCCTGGGCTTTCCAATAGAGGAATGAGGGGCCTGTGGAGTTTTGCCAGGGCTGAGAAAGGCCCTGTGACCTGAGAAAAGCAGCAGTCAAGATAGGAGCCATAAAAACGCCTTGTAAAGTAGGTGTGCTCTCGACGGAGACCCCTGCAAGGGTAGGAGGTTTCTGGGAGGAGGCTGCTGGCTGTGTCTTAGGGCCCCAGAATTCAGACTGATCTCCTGGGCCTGGTGCCCTGTGCAGCTGGGAGCCGTGGATGGTCTTGTCAGGCTGTGTGTGAGCCTCTGTCGGAAGAGCTGTCGGCAGGACAAGCGTTTTCTTAAAGGTAGGGTTGTCCTTGTTTGTCTTCAGTGCTAGAGAAGCTGAATCTTTCCCAACAACAACAAAAAAATTTGCTTATTAAGCTGATCAGTGCAGTTAGTCCCTCCCTTTAAAACAGGTGTAAACACAGGAGCCCCAGCAAGATATGTCAGCCCCTGGGGACACTTAGGGTATCTGGAAGGTGACAGTGGGAAGTGTCGTGGGGTTCTGGCAGGACTTGGGTTCTTGCACTGAAGTCCTGTGTGCGCCCCACAGTATGCAGGGCCAGGGCTTCTGACTCGGATCAGTTGCCCTAGGGGCTGCCTTCGCTCCTCCTCCTGAGAACAGGCGAACATTTAAAGGTAGTAAGTTCGTACTTTTAAAAACATCCCTCACTGGGGCTTCTGCCTTCATCCTCTCCTCCTAAAGTCTGGAGACCTCACTACCTAATCTTTCTCTCGGACAAACCACTTGCTTCTTCCTGGGCTCCTTGCTGAGCGTCCGGGACCACCCTGACTGAGAGACAGTGTCCCAGCAGAGAACCTGCTTCACAGTTGCATGATGCCCTTTGCTTTCCCAGCCCACCGCAGATCCTCCTTCAACTTCGAGTGCCTGCGCCGGCAGAGCAGCCAGGAGGAGGTCCCTTCATCTCCCACCTTCCCCCACCGCACGGCCCTGCCTCTGCATCTCATGCAGCAACAGGTGAGTGGCCCACCTGGTCTCGCCCCCATGCCCAGGGGCACCCTACATAGGACCCACCATCAGGTCACTCCCTTCTCTTTGGCCTTAAGCACCAGGAGGGAAGGAGAGAATCTTCACCTACAGTCTGGTTAATCTTTGTAACAATCCTGCCAAATAGCTGTGGCCATGAGCCCCATTCTGCCCAAGCTCACACAAGCAAGCGACCGCTGGCATTGGAATCCGAGGAGCCAGCTGCCAACGCTGGCCTCTCTACCCAGGTGCCTCCCTGCGACCCCCACCACCTCTTCCGGGCATTGAATACGGAGCCTGATGTGATCTGAGCTCAGGGGGTGGGGGCCACTTGGCTGACTCTGAACAGTCGGTGCAGCCCTTCATTTTCTCTAAAGTGCTTCCTTCGTTAAGTGTATGGGTCCCTCCGTGGGCAGGACCGTGTGGGCACTATGCGGGCTTCACCTCCCCTGCCTACCAAGGGAGCAGTCTGGGGAGAACAATTTGCCCACGTTGAGGGCGGCTGCACAGGCAGGAGGGTGGGGCCAGAGCCCACTCACCAGGGCTTTCCCTCGAGGATAAGAATATGGCGCTTTTTCTTTCTGAAAATATGACATCAGAGATGCTATTCATTCGTGCACGATGGGGTGGTGGGCATGGACCTGTGCTGTTTACAGACTGGGTTCCCCGTCCCTCTCTGCAGAGTGAACCCTAAGGTGCATCTGCCGTGGTGGGATTGTAGGACCGGGCTTGTACACAGTGCTTTAGCACATGCCAAATGCCAGCTCTAGGATGCATTATTCCAGAGCAAAGAGAACCAGCTATGTTTTCCTGTAAGTGCTAGGAAGTGGTAGTTTCCCCTGAATGTACTTCGGTATTTAAACCCAGCATGAACTGGGTGGTGTGTTCACACCCACGGCTTGTTGGGCTTCCCTCATTCTTCATTCTGAAGCAATTTCATGAATTAGCAACTGATAACTCCTTGGGAAAAGCCATAGGAAATACATTATAGATTCGGGGTAAAAGAAAACACAGTCTGCTAGAAAACCAAGTCGTCACCGCCCATTCATTCAGTGTACCCATGTCTTTTCCAAGTCTTTGCCTGGACTGCCCCTGGAGAGCGCAGCGCCCGTGCTTGGTCTGTGTGCAGGAGGTTTGAGGCCCGGACCTCTGAGAACCTCTGGTCTCCCAACGCTCCTCTCTCTCCTCAGATCATGGCAGTTGCTGGCCTAGATTCAAGTAAAGCCCAGAAGTACTCACCGAGTCACTCGACCCGGTCATGGGCCACCCCTCCAGCAACCCCTCCCTACCGGGACTGGACACCGTGCTACACCCCCCTGATCCAAGTGGAGCAGTCAGAGGCCCTGGACCAGATGAACGGCAGCCTGCCGTCCCTGCACCGCAGTTCCTGGTACACAGACGAGCCCGACATCTCCTACCGGACTTTCACACCAGCCAGCCTGACCGTCCCCAGCAGCTTCCGGAACAAAAACAGCGACAAGCAGAGGAGCGCGGACAGCTTGGTGGAGGCAGTGAGTATGGCTCTTGGCCGTGGTGGGCAGGAAGCACCAGGAGCAGCAGAGGTGCAACTGCAGCAGCAGGAAGGGCAACAGCAGGAAGGGCAGTGGTGGGAGGGCTGCCAGGCTGTGAGCCAGGCTGCCTCAATCGGACACTTCTGAGCAGCAGGAATGTACCTGAAGCATGAGTAAAAACTGGTCACCACCACTGGGTGTGGTGGCTCATGCCTGTAATCTCAGCACTTTCGGAGGCCGAGGTGGGTGGATCACCTGAGGTCAGGAGTTCAAGACCAGCCTGGCAAACTTGGTGAAACCCCATCTCCACTAAAAATACAAAAATTACCCTGACATGGTGGTGTATGCCTGTAACCCCAGCTACTTGGGAGGCTGCAGCAGGAGAATCACTTGAACCCGGGAAGTGGAGGCTGCAGTGAGCCGAGATCACACCACTGCACTCCAACCTGGGCGATAGAGGGAGACTCCATCTCAAAAAAAAAAACAAAAAACACACACACACAAAAACAAAAACTGGTCACCACCATTGATTCTCATAAATGAGCTGTGCTGGCATTATAGGTGCTGTTCCAGCATATGTTTCTAGTTTATACTAAATGTCTTTCCCCAGTGGGTTTCACTCTTGTTGGCCCATGTGTAGTTTTTTAGCTCCGGGACAGTTTCAAAGCCATTTACATTAGTTATTATGTATGAGGTCTAGAAAACATGATTGAGCTGCATCCCCAAAGCACACGGTGCAGTTAGCACTGGAGTTTTCTGTCATCCCCCTGCCCTGCAAAGCCTTATAACACCCCCATGCCATCCATCCCTCTTTCCTGTACAGGTCCTGATATCTGAAGGCTTGGGACGCTATGCAAGGGACCCAAAATTTGTGTCAGCAACAAAACATGAAATCGCTGATGCCTGTGACCTCACCATCGACGAGATGGAGAGTGCAGCCAGCACCCTGCTTAATGGGAACGTGTGTCCCCGAGCCAACGGGGATGTGGGCCCCCTCTCACACCGGCAGGACTATGAGCTACAGGACTTTGGTCCTGGCTACAGCGACGAAGAGCCAGACCCTGGGAGGGATGAGGAGGACCTGGCGGATGAAATGATATGCATCACCACCTTGTAGCCCCCAGCGAGGGGCAGACTGGCTCTGGCCTCAGGTGGGGCACAGGAGGGCCAGGGGAAAAGTGCCTCATAGTTAGGAAAGTTTAGGCACTAGTTGGGAGTAATATTCAATTAGACTTTTGTATAAGAGATGTCATGCCTCAAGAAAGCCATAAACCTGGTAGGAACAGGTCCCAAGTGGTTGAGCCTGGCAGAGCACCATGAGCTCGGCCCCAGCTGCAGGAAACAGGCCCCGCCCTCTCACAGAGGATGGGTGAGGCGGCCAGACCCGCCCTGCCCCATTGTCCAGATGGGCACTACTGTGGAGTCTGCATCTCCCATGTACCAGGGCACCAGGCCCACCCACCTGAAGGCACGGCGGCGGGGTGCAGGGGAAAGTTAAAGGTGATGACGATCATCACACCTGTGTCATTACCTCAGCCATCGGTCTAGCATATCAGTCACTGGGCGCAACATATCCATTTTTAAACCCTTTCCCCCAAATACACTGCATCCTGGTTCCTGTTTAGCTGTTCTGAAATACAGTGCGTCAGAACCCAGCTACCAGCGATCATTGTGAGGGCAATGGGACCTTACAAATAAGGTTTTCTGTGACGTCACTCCAGTTTACACAAGAGAATCTCACTCCGATGGTCGGTTTCTGACTGTCACGCTAAAGGGCAACTGTAAACTGGAATAATAATGCACTCGCAACCAGGTCAACTTAGATACACTAGTTTGTTTAAAATTATAGATTTACTGTACATGACTTGTAATATACTATAATTTGTATTTGTAAAGAGATGGTCTATATTTTGTAATTACTGTACCGTATTTGAACTGCAGCAATATCCATGGGTCCTAATAATTGTAGTTCCCCACTAAAATCTAGAAATTACTAGTATTTTTACTCGGGCTATCCAGAAGTAGAAGAAATAGAGCCAATTCTCATTTATTCCGTGAAAATCCTCTGGGGGTAAAATTTTAAGTTTGAAAGAACTTGACACTACAGAAATTTTTCTAAAATATTTTGAGTCACTATAAACCTATCTTTCCACAAGATATACCAGATGACTATTTGCAGTCTTTTCTTTGGGCAAGAGTTCCATGATTTTGATACCGTACCTTTGGATCCACCATGGGTTGCAACTGTCTTTGGTTTTGTTTGACTTGAACCACCCTCTGGTAAGTGAATTACAGAGCAGGTCCAGCCGCTGTTCTGCCCCTTGGGTATCCATAGTTATGGTTTTCTCTGCTGCCCACCCAGGGCATTTTTTGCATCACTGGTGCAGAAATGCGTAAGTGGATGGGGTACAGCTGCTCTTGTCCTCTGGGGACTGGTGGTGCTGCTTAAGAAATAAGGGGTGCTGGGGTGGGGGGGACAGAGGAAAAACATGGTGATCTATAGGATTGGAATGTCGGGGTCTGTACAAATCGTATTGTTGCCTTTTACAAAACTGCTGTACTGTGTGTTCTCTTTGAGGGCTTTTATATGCAACTGAATGAGGGCTGAAGTTTTCATTAGAATGCACTCACACTCTGACTGTATGTCCTGATGAAAACCCACTTTTGGATAATTAGAACCGTCAAGGCTTCCTTTTCTGTCAACAGAATTATGCCGACTGTCAAGTTACCTTGGCAGGGATTCCCTGCAATCAAAAAGATAGGTAGCAATTTTGGTCCAAGATTTTTAATAGTATATACACAACCTGTTAATGGATTTTTTTTTTTTTTTTGTAAATAACACCACTTTGTTATGAAGACCTTACAAACCTCTTCTTAAGACATTCTTACTCTGATCCAGGCAAAAACACTTCAAGGTTTGTAAATGACTCTTTCCTGACATAAATCCTTTTTTATTAAAATACAAAATGTTCTTCAGAATAAAACTGTGTAATAATTTTGTTATATTTGGGAGCTCTCCTTGCATAGAGCTGGCACTTGCCAGTGAGAGCCTCCGACGGGGCAGGTACTGTGCCAGGGCAGCTCTGAAATTATGGATATTCTCTCTTATCCTCCTGGTTCCTTCAGTGCCAATGGTAACCTAATGCCAGCTGCAGGGAGCACCATTTCTCCTAAAGGGCTACACCACTGTCAACATTATCTTGGACTCTGTCTCTCTCTCCGTTGGGTCTTGGTCTTACTGTGTGGCTTCACATCAGGCCAAAATCGCCAGACCAGGACCCTAAGTGTCTGGTAGAGGCGATGATCTTTTCCAAAGTCAGTACTTACAAACTGGCGTTTTTACAGGCTGCACCACTTCCTAATATCTGTCTGCTTTAAGCCTGGTTCAACCTCTCATCGAATATTAAATTTTTCTTTGTAAGAAAAATTTGAAGTTGTAGAGCATGGTTTTTTGTTTTCCTTTGTCTTAGGAAAGTTTTAAGATGAAATGTTTTTCCTTTTTTGTTCCCTTCCCACCTGAAAAATACACATTTTGTGTCCACAGGAATAATATATTTAGTTTCTTTAATCTTATGTTTTTCATAATCTCCCAAAATGTCAATGGCAGCTATGATTTCACTGTCAACTGGCAGCGAGAACCTCACTGAGAACCATCTCTGCTCAGCCTATGGACTCCGATATCCACCCAGACAGCTGGATCTCACTTCACCAGGTGGCACTTTCCAGCTCTATCCTAAGAAGTTTCAGAATTAGGCAAAAGCCAGGCATGGTGGGCTGTGAGGGTCACGTTACCTCTCGGTGCAGGCTCACCTGTGTGAGATGGGACCAGGGCACTTTACTGCTGACCCTGCTATGAAAAAACTGGAGCAGTTTCACCTTGTGTACATATCAGCATCGTGTCTTTGCCAATTGCATTTCCTATGAAAGTTTTTACTGTTATGATGGGTAGCTGGCTGGTTTATAAAAACAGTTAGTTGACATCACGCACAGAGCCCCGACTCCCTGACTAGCCCACCCCAACTCAAAATCCGACTCCAGGGATGTTTTGTTGAAAAGGTTATTTCTCTAAAACAGAATTTCTTCTCCTCTCCTGGGGACTAGGAGGGCAGGAGAGAATGAGGAGCAGGCCTGGGCTCTGGTTCCAACATCAGGAGTGACAGGGTGGTCTCAGGGATGTCCTGTGAGGACGGCCTGGGCCACTAAACAGGGCCAGTAGAGATGGTATTTTATCTTTACAGAAATCTGTATTGGATCTGATGTTAAGTTGGCTTATCAGCAGAAGCATGAAACCACTTCTGAGTGGTGGGACCTGGTTGGCTGGAGAAGAATCTGGTTTTTGTTGTTTTTTTGAGACAGTCTCACTCTGTCACCCAGGGTGGAGTGCAGTGGTGCAATCTCGGCTCACTGCAGCCTCCACCACTCAGGTTCAAGAGATTCTCCTGTATCAGCCTCCCAAGTAGCTGGGACTATAGGCGTGCATCACCATGCCCAACTAATTTTTGTATTTTTAGTAGAGACTGGGTTTCACCATGTTGGCGAGGCTGGTCTCGAACTCCTGGCCTCAAGTAATCCACCCGCCTCAGCCTCCCAAAGTGCTGGGATTACAGGCGTGAGCCACCATGCCCAGCCAAGAAGAATCTATTTGAATTCATGGAGATGATGTCTGCAACCTTCGCTATGAGCAGAAAAGACTAGATGTTTGGGTGCCTACAACTCCTGCTTCAGGAACTCACCATCTCCAGTTGGGCTGGCAGATGCTCTTGGCTCCCATGCAGCCCACCCCGTCCCCTATTCCATCAGGAACTGCCTTCTGCTAGTGCAGCGGCTTCAACACAGGCTTCTGCAACAGGCCAGGGCTCTCAAGAGCACTGGGCACATGCACAGCATTCTGTTGTGCGCTTGTGAACCGTTTTTGCAAAGCATGTTTCTCTGTTTTTAGGTACTGCAAGCTTTTTGCCAAGGGGCCCGATTCCCTATGAGACTGAAGATGGGGGGGTACCCTCTGTGCACCCCACTGTGTAGCAAGTGCCTTTCTCCCCCATGCTGGCTTCCTCAGCTGACAGCCTCTCCTCCTGGGGTGAAAGGCTCCCTTCATGGCAGGGGAACTCTCAGGTTCTGGACATATGACACTTACCATCTTTTCTTTTGAGTCTCATTCCTGTTATGGCCAAATTGTGCGACTGTGTAGAACATGACTAAGAAGTATTTGAGAGTGAGAGAAGGGCCTGGGTGCAATCAAGCAGCACCCCCCCCAATGGGCTCCTTGCCACACGATGTTTTGCTTATTTTAAAATACAGCCACCAGACTGAACCCACTGTGGTCTCAGAGGCTGACACACCCATGGGACACAGAGATGGTAGAACTAAGTGACTGTCACCCTGCCATATCCATGCCTGTTCCAGAGAAGAAGGGTCAGCAGAGTCATGGTTGGCCCAGGACCATCCCCTGCCCCTGAATCCACACATGCTCTAGCAGGAGAGCTGCATGAGGCCCTCCCAGCCGTAGGCTGGCACCTCAACTCCTGTGCCTGCACTCCCGCAGGCAGCCCCGAGACCCAGGTGACTGATGGCCATGGACTGCTGCTGTGGGGCAGGTGGGGACCCTCCGTAGGATAAATAAGTCTCTTGGCCAGTTTAGAATTTTCTTTCTTGACCCTCTCTTGGAACAAAAATTTTTTTTAAAATACAGGTAAGATTAAACAAGAGCTGCTTAAGATTGTTAAAAGGAGAGGTGTGATGGGCGTCTTCCTTCTGCCTTTCTAGGTTTTCTCACAACTAAGTTGTGGCCGTCGGATCCCCTAGAGTCTGCATGCCACCTCAATCCTCTCAGATCCCAGCAAAGCCTGGAATCCCCCAATTTTCTCCCGTCCTTACTCTGAGCCTAATGCAGATGCAGGTTTCCACGTAACAACGCTTTTCTTCCCAGACCTTGATGGTGGATGTGGATGTCTGGAAAAATCCAAGTGCATTTTATTTTCATTACCTTGTCAGAACAGTCTGGAGAAGGCATCTCAGTTCAAATGTAAGTGACTGGATCATTTTATTGAATGGTAAGAAATTTAAAGAGCAAAGAGCTGTTGTAAATGCTACTTGTATTTCTTTTCCTCCAAAACTCCAATCTTGAATTTATTTTTCTTTCACACAGGGGCATTTCTACAGGAACAGGGTGCATGGCTGTGCTTAACTGCGTTTTCCATCCTAGTCTGTTCCTGTGGACGTCTAGAGAATAAGAATTAACCATCCTTGTCCTCTGCTGGGATGGTTCAGGCTGCCAAGTCATTTCCCAAGCCCATTATGAGAGAGTCCTTTCTCGGGCTAGCTGCTTCAGTAGGAAACAGTGATCTGGTATGTGGGGTTTGCTCCGGGTTTCCGCATTTCTTGGTAAAAGGAAAACCTCTTAAATTGCTAAGTCATAAAACCTTTGGTAGTGAAGTCAAGTGGTATTCCCTCCAGACTCCTCTCCCATTGAATAAGATCCAAAAAAACTCAGGGTTTTTTTTTTTTTTTTTTTTTTGGAGACAGGGTCTTGCTCTGTTGCCCATGCTGTAGTGCAGTGGTGCAATCAGGGTTCACAGGAGCCTCGACCTCCTGGACTCAAGCCATCCTCCCGCCTCAGCCTCCTGAGTAGCTGGGACTACAGGTATACACCACCATGCCGAGCTGTTTTCCAGGGACAAGGACTCACTATGTTGCCCAGGCTGGTCTTGAACTCCTGAGCTCAAGTGATCTTCCCAAAGTGCTGGGATTACAGGTGTGAGCCACTGCACCTGGCCCCAGTTTAATAATAACCAGAGCCACACCCCTCTCCGAGTGACCCAGCCAAGCCCCCGTTACCTGCCTTACTCTGAGAGTGAAATTAGGAAGCGAGAATGGAAAAGCCAGTTTTTCTACCAGCAGGCAACTTTCCCCTCTGAACAGGGACACTGGAGACTTATGTGCCAGCCGAGGCTGAACTAACTACTGTGTGACTCACTGCCTCAGCTAAAGCTTGCAACTCGAGGAGGAGGATGCCCCTTCCTTGGCGAACCCTCCGCAGGTCTGGCAGGCACCCAGCCTCTGTGCATGGCCTGGGAAGGAACCACTGCCCTGGGTTAGAGAATGCCATGTGAACACAAGACAAAGGATGTGGCAGGAGTTAACCATCCTCCCCTTCTGTCCCTCCAGGAGGCAGGGAGAAGCATCTGAGCCTGAATGCTGGCCTTCCCCAAATGGCCCACAGGGAAAGGCTGGGGAAAAGGAGCTCGATTCACTGCCCAGTACTTGTCTCATTTCCCAAGAATTTATCCAATTCTCAGCCACTGAGTAGGGTACCACCTGGGTCCCAGTGTGCTAGATAGTTTCAGGAAGGCACCTGGGAGCAAGGGCTGTGCTGGCCCTCTTGGCTTATCAGGGGGCTTCCCTGGTCATCCTCCAGCAGCAACTGTCTTAGCGCTGGGTGGCCAGCGTCCTGGGCTTGTAGACAGGGACATCTTTGTCCCAGAGTACAGGCCGCCCCTTGATAATGTCAGCTGCCTTCTCTGCGATCATGATTGTGGGGGCATTCAGGTTGCCGCTGACCACGCTAGGCATGATGGAGGCATCGACAACCCTGAGGTTTTCCACCCCGAGGACCCTTGTCTGCGGATCCACCACGGCAGTGGGATCGGAGGGCTGGCCCATCTTACAGGTGCACGAGGGGTGGTAGGCGCTGTCGGCTTTTGCCCGCACAAAGGCATCTATCTCTTTATCTGACTGAACGTGGCTTCCTGGCTGGAGCTCTTTCCCTCGGAACGGAGCCAGGGCTTCCTGTGCAAAAATTTCTCTGGTGAGCTTCACACACAGACGGAAATCCTCAATATCAGTTTCTGTCGAGGAAAAGAAACAGGTGAGGACCCCTCCTTTTGCCCGTGCTGGCCTCACTGGAAGATTCACAGCATGGAGAGGCTCTGTAAGCTGTCTGAGGGGATAGTGTTTGGGGATAAAGTTCAGGGCCGTGGGGGACTGAGCCAGCAGGCTGCTTGTCCCCTGTCCATAGCTGGTTAGACTGTACCGTGTAGCTCAAAGGTAGCATCCTACATGGACACAGCCTGCCCAGAGGCTCAGGTTTCAATCAGGGGTCTGACTTATCGCTAGGGCAGGGATAAGTACACACACCCTGCCCCTGCCACAGTGTGGCTGTGAGCACGCTGCAGCCATTGCTGGGCAAAACCCACCCAGTGGGTAGTGCTTGTTTTTGCTGCATGCAAGGAGGCAGGCCCAGGAATGACATTTGCTTTTAGAGGCTGCTCAGAGTGACAGCAGGAAAAATGCTCTACCTACAGACCTGGCACCTGCACGGCGCGTCTCCCTGCACATCACAGCAGATTGTTCTGAAAGCTGCAAATCTCCCCTACTGTCTAAACCCCAGGACTTCATTTCTTTCACGTGTCCCGGGACACTACGGGGCTC